AGAGTTGTGATAACTTCAAATCTCGGATTTATCCTAATTTACAGCTGCGAGAACCTCAGATCGCACACACGTTTCTGCCGTTACAGCTGTGAGAATATCTATCCCCAACAGATGAATCCCGAAGCAATGCTGTGGGAACCTTAAATCTCACAGATGTATCCGCCGTTACAGCTGTTGGGGCATCAAATCCAGAGATATATTAGCCATTACGGCTGTGAGAACCTCAGATCTCACAGATGTGTCATATGACCGATTCAGAAGGGCCTCAAAATACAAAATGACGATCATCTGTAAAAAAAACTCAAATAATTTCCGTGACATTTCAATTACTAATAGATAATTTATCCCTAAATAAAATCGCATAGATGATATATTCTGGAAAATAACATTTCGCTCACTAGAAACTGAAAATCAAAGCCGGTCTTCTCGAAAGCGGTTTAAAAGGTCACACGGAATCCTTCTTGTTCTACAGTTACCAACAAAAATTGGTCTCCAAAGTAAAAATCAATTTTTTCGAGTGTAACAATGTCAGGGTCAGCCATATATGGGACAGTAAGTGCAATTTCTTTACACAGATTTCTTACAGAAATTTTTATACAGAGTTCGCAAAACGAATCCGTCTGTATCTCGTACTATATATATAGTATATAGTATACTATATAGTATATAGTATACTATATAGTATATAGTACTATATATATATATATTCGAATCTTTAATGATTAGTACATAGCAAATTGGATATGATGTGGAACAACCTGGCTGCGGTATAATTTGAGAGTATATGGCAATTCCCTGAAAGGACTCAGGTTAACTACGAATATTTCACAGTGGTCGATGTTCCGAAAGAATTTTGAATTGAGCACCTCTCGAATACGAGGCTAGAGCGTTACCGCTATGCTAACCAATTTGTCTTAAAATAGTGTTGAATACTTCTGTCTTCAAGGTTGTAACGATGTGTAATTCGGTAATGTCCACCGAAGTTTCGGGCGAAGGTAAGGCCTTCATTTTCACGGTTTAAGAGTAAGCTAAAAGAAAAAAAAATAAACAAGCAATAAGCAAGCGGGAAGTAGAGCCTATGACCCTGAATTAGTTCCTCCGAAACGTGGGTAGACTCTACCGAACTCCATCATCTTACAACCAAGATCGTACTCTTCATAGTCACTATTGTTATAACCTAAAATCCGAAATAAATTTGTGTTCTGCACTACAGTTGTTACATATTTATTTTAACCTATATGCTTGTCCTTAACGTCCACTCTTACCTTGAATTGGAAGTGGGCCACAGCTTTGTAATGTATATGTTGTGCAAATTTGAACAGAACCACTTACAACTGTTGTGTCAACGAGCTTGTTTCAGGGCACCTGATTATGATTTTCACTTATGTTTTCACCCTTTTGACTATACTTATATTGAAACAATTATTTTGAATGACACAGTTCTTCCCGGAGAACACAGTTAGGTGAAAATTCTTCACCATTAGATTTCGTAAACATAGTACTTGCGAGTGCAAGATGAACTTAGTAATCACTAACTCACCATTTTAACTCACAGCAAGCTCCTTTACGCTTTCTATTCTACACATTTATTTCTATTTTGTTATCAATTTATATAAAACGTTATATTAGCAGATTTCTTTGCACGACCTACAGAAGAAGAGGTGAATAGTCGCGAAAAACACGCATTAAAATACCTGCAACTCCAGGCCGCATGAAACTAAGCACGAAGTCTCAGTTTCCCACTCAGGACGAGGGCTTTCATGAGTGTCACAGATACAAATAAATTGTCTATAACGAGCATGGAAACAGGCAGTGGATGTCCAAAACCGCAAAGAATAAACTGATTCAATTAATAAGACCTACAAATTTATAAATTCTCTTTATCGGAGCCCGGTGTGTGCTGTACGATAAAATGTCGCAATCACTCTAATAGAAGAAATACATGAACTGGCCCAGTTTGCAGGATTACCAAAATCGACAGCTTTACACGGAAGCCAAATAATGGCGTATATACGTACATCACATACGCCAGACTGTATCTGGAACTGAGCTAACTTCAATAAATTTAATGATAATAAGCTGAAGGGTTGGAGCTGAATTTATGACGATGGTGAGTATCAAAATTGTGGTTTTCTGATATGTATTTCTAAGTACTTTAGTGGACAGTTGCCAATGTTAAGGAGGAACCATCTGTTTCCATCTTTGGAGTAGACTCTAGGTTACCTCAGACATGGTAATATCAATGTACGAAAGCATGCATCGTCGTACCCTTTTACATCATAATCTTGGAGTTAGGTTTTGTATTTATGATGGGAATGTTGTTTAATGTTGTGAAACCTGTCAGAATATCCTTGCAGCTTGATTCCGGTTATGAGGATTCATGTGGCCGTGATCATTAAAATAATAAGAACGCCGATCCTGGTCTTGGGTCTGAGATCTGCTTGTGTTTTATTTCTGCACTGCGTCACCCTGACAGAGATTTCCGCCGTTCGGCGAGGTGGATGGGGCGTGCAGGACAGCTCCATCTCTTCTGAATCCAGGCTAAATATCAGGATTGTCATGAAAAGAAAACCTGTACAATTATGTTACAAGAAAATAAATGCCTTGTTATATAACCCGTTCTTTTGTATCGTCTGAATATTTCAAGTACGTAATATTTAGAAACAAGAGCAAGAAATTTACACGAACATCATTATGATATTAGGAATACAAATTCTGGAAAAGCTTGTTACTATTCAGCTTGGAAACTTATTAGTGAGGTTGGTCAGGCTGTCACAATATTTCATCATTCTTACGAAACTCTACATTAAAATAAATAATTTCTATATACTTCCCAAAGCTTTTATTTCGTGAAAACGTCAGATACTTTCTTATTAATATAATACAACCTTTTTAAATGGCAAGAAGCATTACAAAATCTGTATATTTCAGTTTCTTATACACAACAAGCTGCCTCAAAGTGATGTCATAATTTAACCACAGATGTCGCCCTGTGCGTGCATGGCGAGGATAAATGAAGGGGGGAGGAACTAAAGAATAACAATAATAATAATAATAGAAGACCGATAGACTGGAACAATATTTGTGTAATTAGGCGATTGATATGTGAAGTACCGCATGTTTTCACCTCTTGATGGGAGACTCCGTGTGTCTGTGTGTCACACAATTCCCTATGTTTGTTTATGTACATAAACTCACTCATTTCACTAGCACACGATAACACAACCGAGCTGACAAAAATATTAGTTTATGTCTTTTCGATCAACTCTGTTATTCTGGATTATTACACAGTTCCATTAATTAAAGTACTATAATACATAATATAATATTTATAATATATACAGCAACACAAGTTTGTGTCTTTTTCCTTTAAAATCTTTGATTCTTGTTGTTAATCTTGTCTTCCTCCTAATGTGAATGTAGCAGATATCTGTACACACACGTTCAGAATGCAACGGGCCAGTGTTTGGCTTGCTCTATGTACAAATACACGCAATTATAAATGCTGTTAGGGATGGGTCATCATTCAGAAACTATCTAAGAGAGTTCAGCGAAACACGTTTTAAGGGTAGGTTTGCACTTGTCTCGTCTTTTCATTTCTAGTCGATGACAACTGACACACAATTGTACTGACTCATGTCGCCATCTCGCAATGAAATCTGGAGATATTCGCGTATTTATATGTTATTGTAATATTTTCATAGACACTTATTATTCGTTTTAGTGCAAACTTCATATCACATAAAACGTTATAACCATGCTTTTTAGGGAAGGCTTATAATACTCACATAGCAAAATGGGGAAACCAGTTTAGACTTTTTTCTAGTTATTGAGGCAAAAATCACAGATAAAGAAAAAACCGATCCCAAGTCACATGGCACATTGGAGTGTAGGCACTGACCAGTAGTGGTGGGGGCTGCACACCAACGAAGAGACGAATAAAATATAACAACACAAGTTGTAACAACCCTGACCAGGCAGCACATTATCATAAACTCTGTCTTTAAATTTGGAGCTTCATCTCTGACCAGGCACTTGGCCGGTCACAAAGTAAGGGCCTTTCTTCCACTTAATGTCATAGTTACGTTTGGATTCGAGACTCCAGGTTCACACAGTGTGACAGGACAATTCTGATATCCAGTTATGTATCTGAGGGCACAATTCATGTGGAAAGAACAGAATATCAATTTGTGTCGAGAAACATTCAGATATTTATCACAAGAAGACTATTTGACTTCTGGGATGTGACGACGTGTAGTCTGGTAGATCATAACCAACATTTCGAAGAAACTTCCTGCCTCTATTTTCAGGGCAGAAGAGGAATATTAGATATAACCTACCACTGCAGCACATTACACCCCATAAGGTAATGATATTCATAATCCAGGTCGTTATTATTAATAAGCCCAACTTTCTCGTTAGAAATAATAAAAGAAACATTCGATAGAATTCGTAAGTGAAAGATTGGATACGAGAATCTCACAGGGTTCAACCTTCTTGGATTTCAACGCCATGTAGGCTAGTGAATGTTACCTGACGTTTCGGAGCAGCGTATTATTGCCACTTTTAAGTTCTGAAATCTAAGCCAAGCAAGAAACCAGCAGAAGCAAGTGGAGCGTGCCTCAGTTTGTTTCTTGCCTGTCTTATTTCAATCCTGAAGATGGAAATGTTCCTCCGAAACGTAGGACTCTTTCCGGAATACACGACATTATATCGCCGAATCCAGAACTCCTCAGAAACACTGGAATCTTTTACACGTTGCCTTTAATTCTAATTTAAAAATATGTGAGTCACCAATTATAATTGCAGTCCTCCGAGATGACGTGAGTGATGGTGACAAAACCAGCGGTGCGACTGATCAACCGAGAGAATGTTGGTGCGTTTCTTTGCCCTAGGACTGCAACTGAGTCTGTTTCTGCCCTCACAGATTCCCGTCGAGGGGGTGTTCATGGAGAATATCTGGCCAGTGCTTACATTCGCTCCAAACCTTTCATTTGTCCGTGTGGGGTCCTTGCGCTGACCGACTCCTAGTGGTGATACTGATGATAGAACAGCGCTGGACCCCACCGGGCTCAGACTAGGCCCCCGGGGGGCTTCACGTCCTCCAGTCCTGTAAGGGGCGCTGGAGGGGGCGTGTTGTTGACGGACGCGGGCGAGTTCACACCGCCCGCCAGCTCCGACTGGCTGTTCTCCTCGGAGTCACTGCAAGACTCCGAGCTTCCCTTCTTGCTGCCGTTGCCGTTGTGCGTCTTAACGTGCTTGGCTAGATGGTCGGACCGCATGAACCGCTTGTTGCATACCGGGCAGGCGAAGCGCTTCTCGCCCGTGTGCGTCCTGAGGTGACGCTGCAACTCGTCGGAACGCGTGAACCGCTTCCCGCAGAAGAGCCAGTTGCACACAAAGGGCCTCTCACCCGTGTGCCAGCGGAGGTGCGCCTTGAGGTGCGATGTTTTGCCGTACACCTTGCCGCAGCCCGGGATGTGGCAACTGTGGATGTTTTTCTTGCGCAGATGCACCCCTGCTGGGCCCAGCCTCTCTGCTTCCTGACAGTTGGGGCAGTCACAGGTGGCCCGTCCCGTGTACCGCCTCTGGGAGCGCGGGGATGGAACCTGGGGCGGTAAGGAGGCGGCAGCAGAGACGGGAGAGGGCGCTGTGGCCGGAGAGTGATGATGGTGCCCCAGTCCGAAGGATGCCCCCACAGTTTGTGCCCCTGGCAACATGGACTTGTACGTGTCTTGTAGCAGATGCTGTCCAGAGGACAGGAGATGGTGTGCCGTGTTTGACGCCGCCAGGGTGTGGCTCAGGGACGAATAATCAGCTGACGTTGCGGCATAGTTTGCTGCAGCCATCTGCGCGTGCATCCCTGCGGCCGCCGCCCCGCTCATGTCCAGCCAGCCCCCGGCTGTAGCCGCCGAATGAACGTCCCACCACGTGCCGGCCGTATTTACCGCGTCTCCGGGCTTGATGGCACTGTGGTGCGTCGCGCCAGGCATCGTGTTGAAGGGCCATGACTCATACGGGTGTCTCGTGTACACTGAGCCCAGGGCAGCGGCGTGGTGGGCGGTTGCCGTCCCTTCCACCTTGCCCAGGAGGGCCGCCTGATGGTGGTGATGGTGAGAGTTGTCTGTGGTGACCGCGCTCTGAGCGGTCGCGCCAGGGAAGTACAGGTCTCCTCCGCCGTATGTCGCTGCTGAGCTGCAAGCCGGAGACGTCATCACGGGACGGCTAGTGTATGTAGAGTTGGCGGCAGCCATGGAGCTGACGGCACTGCTGCTGGTGACGGAGGGCATCAGGGAGGAGCGCTGGGTGGTGCTGACGGTGGTGCCGGCGTTGGTGCTACTTGTCTGCGGGCTCTTCTTCCACGGGTGAAAACCTTTGCCCACCGCGGCGTCCGCGAGAGGTGGAGGAGACTTGCTCGACAGCTTGTTGCACTGCGCTGCCAGCATCGCCAGCGGGGTTCCCCGAAGTCCAGGGTGGTCCTGCAACACGCATGCGTCATTACCTTCAGTATTTGCACAGGCTACGTCTAATTCACTGTTACAGCGCGTATCCTCTCTCCATCGCTCAAGAAATCGCGCATTCTTTACAGACACATAAAGCTCATTACCGCTACCATTACCGTTTGGTTTATATCTTTCTATTTCCAGTTTCTTCTCCCCATAATTCCAGGAGATGCAAGTGAATGTTTGGTACCTCTACCGGCGACCTGGCCACCTATTGTAAGCCACAATAATAAGGTAAAACTATCCCTGTAACAGGCCTTGGAGGCCCTTACGTCGAGGCTCCCACATTTTGTAGACAGTCTGCTCACAGATGGTGTTGAGATTGTCAGCCTTACACGCCGGCCGCCCTCTATCCCCAGGAAGATTACTGGTACTAATTTCTGTTAGAGGTTGAGTTGAACCCAGGACCGTAGTGCAGCTGGAAGTATTAGGTAACTTGAAAAATAAATCAATAACCTCATCAGGTATCGAACTCGCGACCTTCCGGCTTTTAGCATAGTGCCTCAAGCAACTATGCTACAGCGTGCCCCATTTAGCCGACAATAAGTTAAACATGTTTATTGTACTCTCATGTGACATTCAGAAGAGCAATACCATAGTTTCGACGGAACTTTTTGTCTCCATGTTCTATTCTTTCTCTTTTACGGCGTCACACTCCAGAAAAAAACAATCTTTACTACCCTTGCATCCACGTTTAGGTCTCCCAGGTGACGTTTTCTTTATATATCTTTTCGGACTTAACTTTAAGAAATGTCGCATTTCTTCAACGTGTGCATTTCTCACTCATCTTTCGTAATCTTCGATGCAATCCTCTTAACAATATTTAATGAAGAGTAGATTTTTGAATCTCATTACCTTGTAATTTTCCAATTCCTCTCCTTTTGGTCTAACCATTGGAACACTTTCACAGCGCCCCCAAAATGTGAAAGGCGTCCAATTGTCAATATTTTTCTTTGTTTTGCAATATTTAATATTTTTAATAGGAGAGTTCTCAGTAGATGTCTCTGAGTATCCGCAGTAGAGAGCTGTTTGAAATTCTGTGTTGTGCTTTATGTGGCATTTCAGAACTACTGTCTCAGATTCCAGGGCCTAAAGCTGTATGTCACACTGATGATCTCTGGATCAAGTTTCTAAGAAGTAACAAGAGACAAATGTTTGTCTGAAGTGATTTATTAGCGTGACAGCACAGGCTGGCCGACACCAGCAGAGACAAACAGGACCTAGTGACCCATCTTGTGATGACCCCCACATCTCGCATACAAGATTCCCCGAAGAAACTCACATAAGGGGGTGATTTTGGTGAAGGGCGAAGAAGGGGCACCGCAGAAACCAACTGAAATCACAATAGATCATCATAACCCGTCGGTTGTGATAGGGATTTTAGATTGTACATGAGTTAGTAAGGTGCTCTGGTAATGCAGTTACCGCCACTGCACGGTTCTCCCCTCTTCTCATAACGCACAACCCAGTGGCCTAGTCTAAAAAGGTGACCCGTGATTACTTAAAACTCGAGAGGATTTTCATCTTGAATATAGAAGCTGTGGCCTTATGGGTTGTGACACCGTGTAGTCTTGTAGGTGGCTAATAATATTTCGTAGCAACGTGCTTACTCCATCTTCATGGTTAGCCCCAAAGACTCATAATACCGTTAGCTGAACCGAAAGGATGCGTTTTTGAAACCCTGAGTGACATTGCAGAGCTAACTGCATGAAACGGAGACCTTCAAGAAGTGATGAAGGTTCAAAGTCAACATTGGACCCTATACGAAGCCAGATTAATCCAGTCCATATCCTATCAGCCTATCCTTGTAAGATTATGTTATCTTCATAACTTTGTCTTTCAAATGGAATTACATATGCCACGTTCCCTGAGATCTCATTCTGGCTACATTCTCAACCCATCATAGTGTTCTGCATTTCAAAATATGACGATATGAACTATATAGGATCTCTCACATAGTGTGATTGTCTTAACATGGGGCGTAGGGCCAAAAGACTTCACGACCAGCAGATCTTGTCCTCGAAATTAACCGAACAGTTTGACATGGTCCCAGAGCTTTAGGTTTGTATTCAGAAAGTACTGGATTCGAAACTCGGCAAGATTACGGAATGTCCTGACTAAGGCTTTTCGTTGATTTCCTTAGTCTTTTCAGTAAGATCCCGGGCTGTCGCCTCGATTAGGCAACGACAGTAATGAACTTTGAGGTAAAGCGGCCGAGGCGTGAACCTATGCTATTTCTTCAATGCTACGTCTTTAACTCTCGGTGATTAAACACAAGAAAATATTTCGTCCTACCGGAAGTGTATGGTATATTTGTTCATGGCTCACCGTAGCTAAGATTGTATAGTAAGTGATAAATTAGGCCGCGCCATAGCTCAAGCGGTTAGTCGCTGGCTTCCCACTGAGGCGGCCCGGGTTCGATCCCGGGTCTGGTCAAGTGGCATTTGTGGTGGACAAAGTGGCTCTGGGGCGGGTTTTCTCGAGTACTTCGGTTTCCCTTGCCAATCTTCATTCCACAAATTGCTCCACAATCACCCTCATCTATCATCTGCGGCTGGTACAAAAGGGCAGAAGTGTTCGCAGTACAACGGACTTAGTTCCACCCCACTAGCAACAAAAAAACTGGTAAATTGGAAGAAATGCGGAAAGCAGCGGCGGTGGTCTCATTTGACACATTATTCTGGCATTTACCTCTGGCGACTGAGGAAAACCACGAGAAATCTCAGGCTAGCCAGTGTCCCTGCCGAAATTGGTACCGGGCCCCTCCCAAACACGAATCACAAGCCATATCGCTTTGAGTTAACTTGTTCGCATCTGCACAATGGTAAGGAATGGGTCTTAGTGCAACTGTAAACGAAATGGCGATAGCTCAGTCACTATAGTGACGGGATACGAGTTAGATTGTTGTTGAAACAACGTCCGATTCGCGGAAGGAGTCAAAACTTCTCCACAGCGTCCAGACAGGCTCTAGCGCCCACCCAGCCTCCTATTGAATGGGTACCGGTGTCTCTTTGACCCTGGGTAAAGACGCCGGGGCGTGTAGCTTACCATTCACCTCAACCTTTTGCCGAGATTAAGAATACTTCAGATAACTCGTCGATTGTTCGGTTGACTTCTTGGACAAATGTTTCTTGCCACTGCCAGGAATGGAACTACGTATATTAAGCAGCACGCCATAAAGACGTATGGAGGAGCGCTGGTATAGCACCAGCATCCTTAACCTCGTCATCAGAGGAAGGTGTGTAGCCACCTTCACAACATTTTCGCTTTATTCCCGCAGAAAGCCCCCCCATTTACCTATTGAGTGGGCCTCAGGGCCGTTCTAGACGTTATGGAGAAGAAGGAAGTTTGTGTCTCTGACGGGACTCGAACCCTGTAGCCTAGTCACATCTCTGACTAAACCAGATATCATCGTTACTGTGTAAACACATGGTAAACTGTAGACAAGTTGTCCCTGTGTATACATAATTAAGCATTACGCCATGAAGGCGTATGGGGGAGTTGATATATAGACCCACGTATTCTTAATCTTCGGTACTATTTGGATCTGAGTGATCATTTTCACACCCCGGTCGCTTTACCCCCGAGGAAAGAGACGCCGGTACCCACTGGATAGGAGGTTGGGTGGGCCCCAGATTCGGCCTCGACGACGTGAAGACAAACATTCTATGGGGACTAGATCCCCGAACCCTCAGCCGTGGAGCCCTAGTCAGTCGCTATACCGACTGCGCTACCCCGGCTCATATAATCGCATGGACAGATGCAGAACTTATATCTGTCTTGCACAGATGCATCCTGTATTCCCCTTAGTTCGCGTCAGACCTAGATCCTAGGGGAATAACCTAGTGATTTACGGTCCCAGCGGCTCCTGTACGGCCCCCATACAGCAAACAACTGCCTCGAGCTCTCCCCCCCCCCTCCACATTACGAGGGCGCTGGAGTTGAAAATAAGGGACATCAGAGAGTTTCCTTCACTCCGAGGACGCAGTTAATAGTCGGGGCTTCGGAACCGCTGATATAAAAGTTAATTGTAAAATGCATTGTAAAGGGGATGTGTACATTACGTAGGGCAAACCAGAAACCATTTGCTCAATCACCGTCTTGATTGGTTCTGCTTTATGGAAATAGGAAATTGAGCGTAAGTGAATGGAGACAGCGAAATGGAATTCACGAGGAAATCATATTTGTTCCAGCTTCATTATCCTTAGCGGGGCACTTCTGGCCTATTGTACCAGCCCCAGATGAAAGGTGAGGCTGACTGTGGAGAAATTGGTGGAATGAAGATTGGCAGGGGAAACCGAAGTACTCAGATAAAACCTGCCCCAGCGCCACTTTGTCCACCACAAATCCCACATGACATGAACCGGGCTCGAACCCGGGGAGCAGCTGTGAGAAGCCTGAGCTAGGGCACGACCTCTGATGCAACTACGTTGATGGAAGAAGAAAAGTATGTCCGGATAATATTAGTTTCCCTGAAGATGGAACCGTGGGAAGCGCATGCGAAGTGCACTTCAATATAAATCAGCAACTGTACGTACCACCCGCTGAAATAGCTGCATCTGACCCATTCATGAGCTCCGTATAATTCTCAGAATAAACAGCAACCATTTTCACTACAGGGTATTACACGACTGTCTCTGTGGTCTAGTGGTCAGAGTTCCTGGCTACAGATCCAGAGGTCCGAGTTTGATTCCCAGCGCTACCAGATTTTCTGAGAAGTAGTGGGTCTGGAACGTGGTCCATTCAGCATCGTGAGGATAATTGACGAGCTATTTCAAGGAAAGAGCAGCTCCGGTCTAGAAAATCGAAATTAACGGCAGTGGGGATCCGTTGCGTTGACCACGCGACGCCCTCTATCCGCTAAAGTTGGCACTAAGTTCGCCGACAAGCGGCGGTCGCTCGGTCGGTGAAGTTCGCTTGCGGACTAAAATTATGGAGTATTACATGATTTTCCTTTGTAATAGAGATGCGATGTT